GTGCGTGGTGAGCCCTGGAGAGCCCTGAGATTAGACCAAAGAGGCAGAAGAGGGCTGCACAGATTAGGGGTTTCTAGGCCATTGGGAGGATTTTTTTTTTTTTTTTTTTTTATCCTCACCCGAGGACATTTTACCATTTTTTATTCAAATAGAGTGGGGAGGAAGAGAGAGAGAGAGAAACATCGACGTGAAAGGGACACATCGAGTGGTTGCCACCTGAACGACCAACCAGGGCCGGGGACAAACTGCAACCGAGGTACATGCCCTTAGCAGGAACCGAACCCAGGCCTCTCTGGACCGCAGGCCGACGCTCATCCACTGAGCCAAACCAGCCAGGGCCATTGGAAGGATTTTAAGGATGAGCAGAGACGGCATGCTCTGACTTACATTTTAATAGATGATTCTCTTTGGGGGCGAGTGCATGTGGGGGCCAAGAGGGAAGCAGGGAGACCAGTTAGGCAGCTGCTGCAATAAACCAGGCACAAGATGATGGTGCTTGGTCCAACCTGGAAGTGGTGGAGTGGTGAGAAATGGTGTGATTCTGAGTGTATGCTGAGGAGGGGGGCGGGGTGCCAACAGAATGGATGTGGGGTACTAGAGAAGGAGCAGAATCAAGGAGCCGAGTTTTTCTTCTCAGATGTCTGTCATCGGGGTTGTAGAGGTATCTCTAGACTGTTCTCTCAATACTAGAATATTGATCATTAACTTGTGCTAAAAACTGGTATAGAACTCTCAATGTTTTGGTTAATTCAGAATCTTTCAGGTGTCCTGCATACTGATAGGGAAGGACTAGGAGGACTATGCATCCACAGAGATATAGCAATTGATATAATACTACTAATGGAAATAATAAAATAGCCATTGACAATATTTCTTATGTGGCAAGTACAACCTATAATGGGTAATGTCCATCAATAATTTGTTGAGTATTCAGAGAAAACCCAACAAAGCTACATCACACCAAAGCCTATTACGCAAGTGTATATTTTCCTAAATAAAATGAATACAGGGGGTGTAAGTACAACCCAGTTGGGATATATTTTTTTATGAGTGAGACAAAGCTACAAATAACAAAAAACTTGACTAAGTGTTGAAACAGTATCAACATTCTTTATGTCTCGTAAGAAATCTGGAAACAGGTGGTTTCTGGCTGCTATGCTGCCGTCAAGGCGGTGTGATCTTTCTAAATTTCTCCTTGCTCTCCCTAGCACATTGGCTCTTTTGTTTTCACACTCGCCATTTTATGGTCTCAAAGTGGCTACCAGAGTGTAACACATTCTGTTCTACCACTTTTTACCAGGATCACAAAAGCCACTTTCACAAAAGTACCCCAGTCGACTTCTACTTACATGTCAGTGGCCAGAAGCTAGGCCACATGGCTACCAGGTTGCCTGGCAGCAGAGGAAAGGGGTATCATGTCTGGTTGAAACTATGATTTCTCTCGTGGGGCAAGGCACATCGACGTCCTCAGTAAAAATCACAGTTCGTTAGCACGAAAGAAGAGGCTGCTGGGAAGCAGCTGTGTTGGCCACAGATCATACACCAGCTGCTTGGCCAAGATCAACCGTTCAAACATATTACCAAGTTTTCTGTCAGATACTTTCAAAGTGATTTCCTGCTGTTGCTTCTTTACTTTTCTTTACACACCAGCTTTAACTTAAAACTTATATTTCACAATTGGTCTTTTTAAAACAAGATAAGAATCATGTCTTCTCTAACAGGGAGAAAGGAAATGAACACTCCCAGAAGAAGTATATCTTTCCTAACCCCCAAAGAGGGGATATCAATGAAGAAGCAACTCTTGAAATGATTCCCGTTGCTCCTCAGGTCTTCATGCAGAGCTGTTTCTTTACTCAGAGGCAATATTTGGAGGTGGCGGGGGGAAGCCTCTGGATAGAGATGTACATATTTGGATGAGTCTGTAATCCCAAAGACATGGCTAAAACCGATAGATACCCACTGAATAGTCCTCAGAATAAAGATAGGTTTAGCTAAAGTATTTTGAAGAAGCATTTGGGTTGGCTTCAGAGAATGGTAAAAAGCAAAACTGTGTTACTTTGTGACTAAGCCTTTGTAACTCAGACAGAGCACAGCCACCTGGAAGTTCATGAACCCACTTAGTTTCCTTCACTTTATGTCTCTTAACGACGACTGAGCACCCCTTGTTTTCTGGCCCCTTTCACCCTTTGCTTTGCTTTGTCTTCTCTTCTCTGGTGGCTAAAGTGTTGCCATACATCTGCACCACGCCTTTTGTTTGTTGATTCACATACATGTAATTTATTTGAGGCAACAGCTTTGTGGCTGGAGCAGCAGAATTGGGGGATGAAATAGGTTTCCATCATGTATTTTTCAGGTGAATTTTCCCAGGAGTATCAATTTCTTCAAAGACTAGTAGAAAACCGGCCCTGTCACCTTCCCCCTTTCACAGTTGGTCTTTTTAAAACAAGATAAGAATCATGTCTTCTCTAACAGGGAGAAAGGAAATGAACACTCCCAGAAGAAGTATATCTTTCCTAACCCCCAAAGAGGGGATATCAATGAAGAAGCAACTCTTGAAATGATTCCCGTTGCTCCTCAGGTCTTCATGCAGAGCTGTTTCTTTACTCAGAGGCAATATTTGGGGGTGGCGGGGGGAAGCCTCTGGATAGAGATTTACATATTTGGAAAATATGTCATCTCAGAAAACTGTCCTTCATACCCCTTTGGTGTAAATGCCCCAGTTTTGTGAAATACTGTGCCTTCACTAGTTCTCTGAAACAATTGTTAACTGCCTTTAGATTATTTTATTAAGCCTCATTCACAGTGGGAGTCATTCTTTCCTGCATTGTAATCTTGCCACCAAGCAGTTTAGAGACAGATTAAGTTAAGTGCCTAGAATGGTTAGGATGTTAGAACGAGTATGCCCTTTGCACATTGTCTAGTTCAATCCCCTTGCCTTCACTGATGCATGGACTGATGTGTAATACCGGTGACATTTTTTTAATTAACAAATGCCCTTATTAAACCCTTACGTAGCTTTCTGAAATAAACTTAGTCTTTATTCTTTTACTTTGTTACTTCTTTATTAAAATTAGAACATGTATCAGTAATGCTTTCAGCTGCAATTAATAGTACCGGTAAACAGTGGCTTAATCCCTACTTAGCAAGATACTCAGAATTATTAGGGACATAACTCTTTTCCCAGAAACCCCTCAGTAGACTTCTTATGTCTCATTGGCTAGAGTATTACATGGCCCATCTTGGGGTTGAGAAAGTAAGTATTTGGGTTTTATCAACCTCTGCAGTGAGAGGGACATAGGAGAAGAGGGGACTGAGAATGGCTTTTGATTGGCCAAACCAACAGTGTCTGTTAGAGTAGGCATCCTAACACACACATTCATGTATGTATTTTCACCTCCAGAGAGGAAATACCACTTAAGAACATGGGTTCTGGAGTCAGATTTCCTGAGTTCAAATCCCAGCTTCACTTCTTTGCTAACTCTAATTGCTTTACGGTAAAAGAGGAGTAATCATGTACTGATTGTATATGGTAATTGTGTGAATGACCTGAAGTTAGCATGTGGACATTCCATCAATGTTACCATCATCACCAACTGAAACTCGGCACCCCCACATAGACCAAACCCTGAACAAGCTTAATTACTGGAAGCTTTTATCCACTTTGAACATAAAGAGTAGCTCCCAATAGCTTCAACTTCATAATTACTAACTTAAAACTGAGATATACAAAATCTCAGTCTAACTAGAAAAATTCCTAAAAGATTTATAGTCATAACAGAGTTTGCTTGCCTTTGTTGGGACAGTTTATAACTGACATGTTCTCTTGTTTAGAAATAAAACACTTTAGGCCTCTGTAACTCCCTTATGTGTTTGAAGCAGTATGGTGAAAGATGTATTTTCACTGGAATCTATCAAATCAAGAATCTGAGACTGTTCTGTAATTTGCAACATATATAATAGTTCTAAATAGTGACTCAGAAACTTTTTAAAAAGAAAGCATCAATTAGGGTTAGAGAAAAAAAATTATCTATGTTCTTCTCTTATTTGTACAAAAAGATGCCCACAGACAAGAGAATAAGGAGCAGTTTAAAATGTAGTGGAGCCCTGGCCAGTTCGGTTCAGTGGTTAGAGCATCAGCCTGCGGTCCAGAGAGACCTGGGTTCGGTTCCCGCTAAGGGCACATACCTTGGTTGCAGTTTGTCTCTGGCCCCAATTGGGTCATGTGGGTGGCAACCACTCGATGTGTCCCTTCCGCATCGATGTTTCTTTCTCTCTCTCTCTCTCTCTCTCTCACTCTCTCTCTCTTTCCCCCACCCTCCCTTCCTCCCTCCCACTCTAACTGAACAAAAAATGAAAAAATGTCCTCGAGTGAGGATAAAAAATAAATAAAATAAAATAAATAAATAAACAAAATAAAATGTAGTGGATACACAACAATAATTGATGAAAACAATTCTATAGAATGAGAAGCATCAGAAAACAATTTGAAGTTCGGGAGGAAACCCAGAGCAGCTTCTAGAAAGTACTGTTACCTTGTAGGGACTAGAGTCGAGTCACCACAGGCTGGTTCCTGCCTCTGTAGAGTGGCAGGGACTAGGAAAGATCAACAACCATATCCAAGCCAGGTCCAAGTGACACCAAGGTCACTTGCGAGGGAAGTTCAAGTGAGTATGGGCAGCACGGGGCCACTGAGAGCCATCCAGTCGCTAGAAATCAGAGGTCACAGCCTTCTTGTACCTGAGTGTTCAGGAAGCATGATTTTGCCATCTAATAGCCAGTAATTCCAAGTTGGCCTTCCTTCAGGATGCAGAACAAATAGGAACTCAACTTCTGTCTTTGTTTCTTATCTAAATGAATGAGCCCAGCAGCCCCCTGTCACTGTTGCCTTCTTTGGGGAATGAAGCCAAGTCTCCAACGGCCAAGCACGCGCTCCAGGTGTGTTGCACGTATGTGTCTGTGAACAGTGTGTTGACTGCCGTCTTCTCTGACTTCCCCTGTAGCAAACCCGCTATGAAACGTACGTCAGCATTCTGAAAGAAGGCGGCAAGCAGCTCCTGTGTAACAGCGACGGTGAGGCTGCAGGACTGAAGAAGTCGCATTCGAGTCCCTCGCTGAACCCAGATTCTTCTCCGGTCACTGCCAAAGTCAAGCGGAACGTGTCCGAGAGAAAAGATCACCGACCTGAGACACCCAGCATTAAGCAAAAAGTTACTTAGAATCCATCTGCGACCAGGAAAGTGCTGGTCATGGAGCAAAATAGAGTTTTTCAAGATCTTTCTGGTAAATCCGTGAATATATTTAAAACAATTCAGTCTGTGACTAAATGGTGCATTAGTAACCTTTTCTATTGTATATTTTTTGTTAGTTTCTGTACAGATGGTCCCTTTGCTCTTGATTTCTTTGCTTTGATGATTTTTGCTACTTGATAACTAATGCACCTTTTTGTGAAGGGGAGGGGATCATGATTTCAGAATGAATTATGTATCACTTCTCCTTTGGATTTCTCTCGTTTGCACTCTCAGTTGTTTTTATGTATTCTCAAACCAACTGTTACACTTTTTTTTAAGGGTAAAAACTTTAATCCATCGTGAAACACTTTACTGGACAAACTTTGTAGTTTAGTAAATTCTAGCCAGAGTTAATATAAACCTTTATATGTGAATTCTTGCCCAGTCACAGAGGTGGAATTGAGCACTCACAGAAGCTCAATTCAGAGTGACAGTCCTGGGAGTCCGAGTCCACGTGAGCAGCCGCGCAGGGCCACCTGCGGAGCACTTCCGGTTGCGTCTGGCACTTCCGGTTGCGTCTGGCCCTGCCGGAAGCGGGGAGGGGGCCGCCAGGGGCGCAGGGCTGGAGATCCTGGGAAGCGCGTGGGCTTGCTTGCAGAGTAGAGTGCATTTCAGCCAAGCAAGGACAGAGAAACTGGGACTTTTTTGCCGTTGAAGGTTGAGGAGAGAGGATGCCAAGTTCATTTTGTTTTCTAAAGAATCATGACAACAGTGGACTCGGGGTTGCAGCAGTGGGCACGTGGTCAATGTTCAGGAAATTGTCACCTCGCTCCCACAGGGTTGAGACGAGGAATCCAGAATCCTCCCTCTCGTCAGTACCCCGCCATCCAGGAATTCATATATGTGCAGGCGTGGTGTTATCTCCTGGTTGGAGGAATGCAGGGTCTTCAGCAAAACGAAGTCAGAGAGGAAAAGTAGCTGCAGGTCTCCAGCAATGGAATATAGAATCTTTGAAATCAGTCTGAAAGGACTGATAGTCCGAATGAACTGTGCTTGGAAAGCTGAGGAATCTGCCGGGTGCGTGTCCAGAGTTGCTTCATTTCTTCTTATCTTAGTCTCTTTGGTAGCCACTTCTCTCTGCTCCTACTGAACTTTCTCCTAAAACGAAATTCTTTATTTTAAACATTTCTTTCTATCTACTCAAAATAGTTCTGTTGACCTTAAAGTCATGTGATGACTTTGAAATTCAGGGTGATAAAAAGAACATTCTCTTGTATAGGAAGAGATGGGAGTGAAAATTGAGCCCACTATGAGTTAGAATTTTCTGATTTTGAAATTTTGCAATCCTTAAAGCTATAATCTCCACAACTTCAGAACTAATGGAATCACTTTGAATACTCTTTTCCCTCCCACAGAAATTTGTTCTCATTCTCCTCAGTTTATTAGTTAAAGGTACTATGACCAAAGAACCGGGATTCTGCATCAAAGCAGGTTCCAGCGAAGGAGAGAAAACCTGCTCTTAAACCACGGCCAGCCGTTTCCTGTGGCATTTCATACAGGATCACCTATTCACAGTCACTTCCTGCTGTGGCATTTCATACAGGATTACCTATTCACAGTCACTTCCTGCTGTGGCATTTCATACAGGATCACCTACTCACAGTCACTTCCTGCTGTGGCATTTCATACAGGATTACCTATTCACAGTCACTTCCTGCTGTGGCATTTCATACAGGATCACCTACTCACAGTCACTTCCTGCTGTGGCATTTCATACAGGATTACCTATTCACAGTCACTTCCTCCTGTGGCATTTCATACAGGATCACCTATTCACAGTCACTTCCTGCTGTGGCATTTCATACAGGATCACCTACTCACAGTCACTTCCTGCTGTGGCATTTCATACAGGATTACCTATTCACAGTCACTTCCTCCTGTGGCATTTCATACAGGATCACCTACTCACAGTCACTTCCTCCTGTGGCATTTCATACAGGATCACCTATTCACAGTCACTTCCTGCTGTGGCATTTCATACAGGATCACCTACTCACAGTCACTTCCTCCTGTGGCATTTCATACAGGATTACCTATTCACAGTCACTTCCTCCTGTGGCATTTCATACAGGATCACCTACTCACAGTCACTTCCTCCTGTGGCATTTCATACAGGATCACCTATTCACAGTCACTTCCTGCTGTGGCATTTCATACAGGATCACCTATTCACAGTCACTTCCTGCTGTGGCATTTCATACAGGATCACCTATTCACAGTCACTTCCTGCTGTGGCATTTCATACAGGATCACCTACTCACAGTCACTTCCTCCTGTGGCATTTCATACAGGATCACCTATTCACAGTCACTTCCTCCTGTGGCATTTCATACAGGATCACCTACTCACAGTCACTTCCTCCTGTGGCATTTCATACAGGATCACCTATTCACAGTCACTTCCTGCTGTGGCATTTCATACAGGATCACCTACTCACAGTCACTTCCTGCTGTGGCATTTCATACAGGATTACCTATTCACAGTCACTTCCTCCTGTGGCATTTCATACAGGATCACCTATTCACAGTCACTTCCTGCTGTGGCATTTCATACAGGATTACCTATTCACAGTCACTTCCTCCTGTGGCATTTCATACAGGATCACCTATTCACAGTCACTTCCTGCTGTGGCATTTCATACAGGATTACCTATTCACAGTCACTTCCTGCTGTGGCATTTCATACAGGATTACCTATTCACAGTCACTTCCTGCTGTGGCATTTCATACAGGATTACCTATTCACAGTCACTTCCTGCTGTGGCATTTCATACAGGATTACCTATTCACAGTCACTTCCTCCTGTGGCATTTCATACAGGATCACCTATTCACAGTCACTTCCTGCTGTGGCATTTCATACAGGATTACCTATTCACAGTCACTTCCTCCTGTGGCATTTCATACAGGATCACCTATTCACAGTCACTTCCTGCTGTGGCATTTCATACAGGCTCACCTACTCACAGTCACTTCCTGCTGTGGCATTTCATACCGGATTACCTATTCACAGTCACTTCCTTCACCTATATGTGAACAACATTTGGTGGTGCCCAGAAAACAGAAACCCCTCTTTAAGGTTATAGCTGCTTGCTTTGTGGTAACTACTTTGCCACACCTTTGGAACACTCACTCTAACCCTCTGTCTTGTTTAGGTAAAGGCAATGCATAAATGTATGTTTCAGAACCAAGAAACAAACAGCATAGTTAACCAATATGGCTCGTGGACCTGATTCATTTTTGTAGCTTCTGACTGAATTCAAGATTTCCACAAGGGAATTGTCTTTCTTCCTAGAATCTGAATAGCCAGGCTGCTTGTCTTCTGCCGAGATATTTATTCTAAGCTAAGGGGAGAGAGGTACCTAGATCATGTCATCTCTGAGCTTCAATAACTAAAGAAAAATTAATATCCCTGACTGGCTTGAATGTGTTTGCCCACAGTGTGAGTGTGTCTGTGTATATAGAATGTCTCTGTGTGTTTTACTTGTAGTATTTAATAAACATAGAATGGTACCTTGCTACTGTGCCTGACCTTCACAGTAGTTCTGAACTACTTGGCTAGCACCGCACGGGCATTGCTCTCATTATCTGACTCTAATGTATCTCCAGGAACTTCTGCATGTGCTAATAGATAATTGGATGGGAAGGGCGCTTTTGAAGCTGCAGTATACTGTGTTTGCATAGCTTATCTTTAAAAACAACTGTAAGGTTATTTGGAGAGGGAGGATGACATATTGCCCTGCCATGATGATGTCCGTTTTTAGGGGATGGGCTAAGAACACCTCCTCCCTGAGGCCTCTGAGGTTTCTGTCTTTTTAAGAGTTTATCCTATGGGAGGAAATGGCCCCTGGTTGACTAGATTCTGAGAATCTTGCCCGTAGCCAACCACATTTTCTTTTGTGATCATTTCTTTCCTATGCTATATAGTCAGAAAAAAACAAAGACGTTCCTTCCACAGCTAACCCAAGCTTGTGTGTAATTCTCGGTACAGGGGAGCTCTCCCCCCCACCCTCCTTCTGAAGGTACTCCTGCTCTCTACCCCTCCCCACTCCCTACCTCGCATCACGAGCCTTGGGGTTCTCTCCACATGATAAGTCATTAGTCCTCTTCACACACACACTTGATATTAATTTTCAGTCTAGAAAATCTTGATTGTCACCAAAAGACTGCGATGGCAGTCCTGTTGCACAGTTGACCATGTGTTAAATCTCCGTGGTTCAGGCTTGGTTCCCCCACGCCGTGTGTTGACTCCTCCAGGGAGGTGTCAGGAATTCGTTGTTGGCAATCAAACCTGATTCCTACCATGCAGAGTCCGTATTTTATTGCCAGGCCATAGATAACTATTTGAAGTGTGCTTTTTTAAAAAACATCCTATTATTAACTCTTAATGATGCCCAATTAAGCCAAGCAATACTTCTGTCACTTTAATTTATCTCAGTAAAGCCAGCGTATGGGCGAGTCCTCTGGGGGAACTGGGGCCCCTGGGCAGAAAGCGGCTGTGAGGCCCTCTGTGCTGCTCCGACTGTCACCCTCCACTCAAGGGGGGTTCCCGGGTTAACGGTGATGTGACAGAGCGAATTCTGGAAGAGGGTACTTGGCTGTCTTTCCAGTGCCAGGCCAGGGTTGTCTCTTGAGCTCGTACTCACCCTGGGTCAGACCACAGGCTGGAGAGGACCCGATCCCCGGCGGGGAAGGAGGTCCCGGCGCCCCGGTTCTTCCGCGAGGCGGGGCCTTGCGCCCGGAGCTGCGCCTCTTCTCTGCCTGTTCCCTGATCGGGACAACCGGAAGACACCGACCTTCCAGAAGGTTCTCCTTTGTACTATCAAGACTTTCTTGGGTTTAGTTAGTTGTTTTGCAATTTGAATCCCTTTGGCATTTTTCCTTGTAGTCATCAGTTAAGCTTTTTTAAGCCTAAATTCACAGAGGTGATAGGCCTTGCCGGTGCCAGTCTCTCCCCAGCTCTGTGGACCTGCCCAGGGTTCAGCGGGTCGGCAGCCACCTTCCCTGATTGCAGCAGAGCAGGCCCTTCGCTGTGCACACGGCACGTCCCCGTTGCACACGAGCACTGTGAACCCCAGTGGTCCGCGGCCTGTGAACGTCGAGTCCGGCTTGCGTGACGGTGTGCTGGGGCTTTAGGTAGCACCTGCTTTCCGAGCATCTGCGGCCGGACAGAGCGCCCGGACCGGGCGGGCGGGGGAGCCCTGCTCCGAGGCGCCCTGGCGTCTGCCCGCCAACAGACTCTCCGC